CCTGTGTTTTCTCCCCTAGAGTGTCTGAGATTGGGCGGTGCCCCGCCCCCCCGCCTGCAGTGTCCGCGAGCCACAGCTCCACTTTAGTTTTGTTTTATTTAATAAACGTTTGAACTTTCCTACTGATTGTCTCGCCTTGAATACTGGGTCCATCTGTCCTCGGTTCATGACAGATACGGCAGTTGTTTAGGTAATGAATGTAGATAGTGGCCAGAACAAGGCCAATCTACCAGAATACTGTTGCAACTGATGAGGGAATGAGAAAATGATAAACCTCTACAAAAGATTAAGAAAAATTTAAAAGCAATGTACTGTACATTTTGACTCATCTGTATGGAGTTAGAAAACTTTCAATATTCATAAACTCACATATATGATCCACAAGTCCACAAGACATTGTACAAACATGCCTTTGGGACTCAATGCACCAATGCATTTTTTAACAAGTTACGATGATCAGATAACCTCCTCCTACTCCTCCATATCACAAAATCATTACCCATGTGCTAAACATTCTTGTGGTTGGCTGCAACAAGGGAGTTTAACTGGTTGCAGCTTGTGTGCATTTTATGCTGTGCATGTGTGGGTTGTGCTCTGTGTGTGTGGATTTTGTCCTCTGCATGTGTGGATCACATATTGGAGTTTGTGAATATTGCTATTATTTATCGCTATATAAATAAACTGAATTGAATTTAATTAAATTTCTGTTGATGCACTGAGGGTACAGGAAAATGGCACCAAGTCTGCAGCAGATCCTATAAGTTCTGTCGAATGTGAAGTTTAGAAGTATTCTGTCCTGGCTGACAGATAGCCAATAAAATAGACTCAGTACACATGATTGAGGCTGCTTTAATGAAACTTCTCAAGTTATTTTTTGTAAAACTGCAGTACAAACGAAATACACAGTGTGTTACAATTTAGATTTAACAGTTCTCATTCTTGACACAAGACATAATCATAAAGAAAAATGCAGCAGGTTTGTCAGGTCTAAGCACCTAAAACATCATACATACATACATGGAAAGAAAAAGGCACAGAGACAATTAATTTTACTCGCAAGGAGAGTAGGAAGGGATCGCACAGTACAGGTCTCCACCCCACTCTGGCGGTCTCCGCGTCCTCCTCCCAATTTATTGAAGTCAGGGGTTCCCTGGTTACAACAGCTGAGACTGCACTAAAAGGGAAACAATATAAGGAATTCAGGCTTGCAGTCTCAGAAAACATGTCCTCTAAATCTCAAGGTTCAGTCAACATTTACTGTAAGCCATTGAAGCTGTTCACCAAAGTTCAGCAGGTTTTATGCTGTTCGCAAATCAACCACAACCTCCCCAAAAGCAAGTCCACAAATCACAGTATACTTTAGAAAAAGTGGCTATGATCACATGTACAAAGCACACAGCTTTATGCATTATAACACTACACAGATATATTTATATACAATTATTCTATACAACATTCAACAATACAACATATATGAAGCTCAACAATGAACTGGATTAGCATCTAACTAGCTTCATTCTAGCGGTTAAAATAAAACAGAGGGGTAAGAAACAACTACAAGAACCCACTATGCATATACTCACTGTTGGTCCCGCTCAAGGATATAGACAACTGAATCTGTGGTGTAGCATGTGGTGCTGTATGTATGCACACGAAAAAGCCTGGTCATTAAAACTGCAGTAACAGAAAACCACCAAAAGGGAGCAACTAATACAAACTGACAGGAGTCAGAACAAGCACCATTGCACTTCACATGTATTGAGATCAGGGT